ATCTTCAACATCCTTCCTGGATCATGGGAGTTTATTTGGGCAAAGATTGATGTAGCCCCCAATCAGTTCCAAACTTTTGGGACCCTTGAGCCATCTTCGACATCCTTCCTGGATGATCGGAGTGTTTCATCCACACAATGGCTTCAGAAGGGCTCTGCTCATCCTCATCCATTTTGGGCAAAGATTGATGTAGCCCCCAATCAAACTTTTGGGACCCTTGAGCCATCTTCAACATCCTTCCTGGATCATGGGAGTTTAATGGAGGAAGCCCTACAAGGCTAGGTGGGAACCTGTGGGCCAGCAGGAGACTATCAGTCCACAGGTCACAGCCAGGGAGCCATGGGCTAGGTGGGAACCTGTGGGCCAGCAGGAGGCTGGCAGTCCACAGGTCACAGCCAGGGAGCCACAATACTAAAGAAAATACCAGTTCGTATCAACTATGAAAAGAAATAAAGATCTACATCTCAGCTTGTCAAGGCATTTGAAACTACACACATCTTCAAGAACCTGAGCTGGGGGATGGTGCCAAACCCCATACATTTGCTTCCCCACCTCATCATATATTAAATCCATGTAGCCTCACCAGTGCCGAGTACAGGGGCACCATGGGGGTGGCAAGCAAGATTCCCCCCCACTCCACATCCACAGCCTTCCTGGTTGTCTTCTGGAAGAGACAGAGATGGGTTTGTGACACCATGTGCTCTGCCAGAGCAAGTTCTTCCAGGTGGCCTTTCCCCCTTCGCTCCCAACGCGGCTGCAAGACGGAGAAGCGGCCAAAGGGAGGTTCTGCTCCTGGTCAGCAGCCGCAGCTCTGCAGCGTGGAAGCACTTACGAACATGACTTGTAAACCCTGGGTGCAAGAGACAGAAAGGCTCGGGGCCATTGCCAAATATTCGTGTGAGCCACAGACCTTGAAGTGAGAGCGCCCGACAGCTCAGCGCGCATTTGGGTCTTAAGAAGGGGTTACGTCCGTGCGTCAGTCAGGTTGAACAAGTTCTTGGGGCTGCAGAGAAAACTGGAGAGATACAAGGGCACCGAACTTCAGAGAAGAGGTCAGAAGGGATGAGGAGGAGAAGTCTCCCATTTACCACCCTGTCATTTCAGCTTCTTTCTGCCGAGAAGCGCCACATTAAAAGAAAGAAGACATTAACCTCCCCAGAAGGTTGTGAAACCTTGTGTAGGAAGCACCGGGAATTGATAAAGTCCTGACAGACGAGTCTGATCACATTTGACAAAATTACAACAGTAGAGAAGGTAGAGGTGAGCCTTATCTTCGATAAAACAACTGACGCCCTGACGTAGGAAAAAAAACCAACCCCAAACAACCAAGAACCAAACCAAAGAGCTCCTTGGCTCTGAGCACACCGGAGGAATGAGACCTGGCTGAGCTGCCATAAACAAGGGTTGAGGAGGGACGCAGAGGAAGAGGAGGCAGAAGAGGAGAGTGAAGGCACTCCCGAGATCTAATCTCCTGGAGGGAAGATGAAGCAAGCTCCACCAAAAGCGTCTGTTCGGGTGCCAAGGCTCTGATCCCGCCCGGTGAAGCAGATGCTTAACTCGGTGCCCTTCGGTAGCCCCCATCGGAGGTACCGGGGCTGCTCACACCCGGCTCCTCCCGCAGCCAGGGACCCCAAAAACGCTTCCCTCCCTCCCTCCCTCCCGGGAGCCTGTTACCGGGAAGCCCGGAAAGCTCCGGCGCCCACCTGGACGGCGACCGGCAGCTCCCACCACCCCGAGGTGGGGGGTCCCACGGCCGCACGCACCCTCAGTTCACCCCGAGCCCACCCGTGCCCCCACCAACACCCGGGGGGGGGGGGCAGAAGGAGACCCTCCCTCCCCGC